TTAGTTCGGCAATGTACACTCTGGCGTAGTCAAGTACTGTTCAAGTCAGTTGACTACTACGTATTTTAATTACTATTTTACTTATTATTATTGTATATAATACTAGCACATGTTTAGGTAGTTCCTCTGTGTGTCTTGCCATAATAGACCTTATTTCTTCACAATAGATGTCAACAGTCATGTTGTATCAGATATAAAGAAAAGGATATTGTTAATTAGACCGAAACTGGATCCCCAAACTGTTACCAAAAATTTTTTTTCTTTCTTTTTTCTTCAAAAAATTTATAAGGTATTTTTTTGCACAGTATTTGAGCTTGTTGTCAGACTTCAACCACTTTATAGGTCGTTTGGGTTTATCATGAAAAATCAATTTTGCATTACAAGTGCTGAATGATACGATCTATAACTTCTTCCTCGTAATCTAGATTCATTAAGACTTGACCCCTCGTAGTTCTTGCGTGGTGTAAATGTTGTGTTATATTTCTATCAAACCACGCTGCTGATTACTCTCAATCTTAGTTTGTAACCAATCGGCATCAACAATAGGTCCCAAATTGACATTATTCACATAAAGCTTTGGTCGTCCACGAGGTTCATTTGCTAGGTTAAAGTTTCCATTGTACAATCGGGCAAACCAAAAAGGTACAATGCCTTCGTTAATTGTATTCGCTTTATGCACGTCGTTAATGGTTTTAGAATTTTGCGCTGTATTAGAACCGTCTTGATTTCTAGTCTAGAACGTTCAAATTAGAACGTTTTATCTAGTATCCGTAAAATGTGCCAAAGCAAAAACAAATTAATAACACCAAAATGTTTTGTTTCGAATCCTTAACAAATCCTTTATTTGATTAAAGTTTGTAATCGGAATTTTACAATAAAGACTTTATTGAATTTCAAAATGGCTGGACTTATAATGGATCGTCAATTTCATACTTTATCTACGATGAGACGTATGTGAGCGACATAACGAAACTAATCGCGTTCGCTGTACAAAACTACTCATCTGTGTTGTTGGATTTTGGACACATAATAGCGTATCATCCACGGATTGGTCTGTGGCACCCATATATCTATGGTGGCACCGTCATATCAAAAAACTTATTTAAATTAATATATATAAATAATATATTTATATAAATTCATAAATGCTTTGTTAGAGCGACGTAAATCTGTTTTTTTTTTTTTTACTAAAATGGGATAGGGCTTAGTACAATATAATAACTTTTAAAACAAATACTGTTATGGCACATAAGAAGCAAAATACACACAAACGAAACAACCCAACAAACACCCTTTTTCTTAAATAGCGATCCCGTTCAGGTAGCTTCTACCGGACTCGTAACCTTCTGAAACAGCATAATTGCTACAAGGTCTTATAGTAGGTACATATTAACTGTGAGTGTCATAAACCCCAGGTACAAGAACCATACCGTTTCTGTAAAGCTCCATTGCTCTATTAGTATGCATCTGACGATTCTATCGTATACCTAGTCATGTTCTGCCAGAAACGATTCACGATTGCTCATCACTATAGGAAATCTTGTCAGAGGCAGAGGTTTTATTTCTATACACTTTTTGCGCATTTTTGAGATTTTAAGAATTATTTTTCAAATGTCAATATAAGTAATTAATTATAAATTTATAACAATGACAACAACGGCCCTATTCGAAAGAGTGGCAGTTAAACCCAGTGGTAGCCTGACTCGCAATGGTCAGATTGCATATTCGATGTCTGACAACTTCAAATACATAATTTTTTAACACTCATTCTCATACCCCGCACTATGGAAACCCTGCATCGCTGTTGCGGGCGTAATTAAAAAAAATTAAGCTCAAACTCACGAGAGAAATAGATGTAAGCCTTACAAAGATTTCTCCCGGCTCGGGAATCGAACCCGGGACCTCTGCATGGCAGTCCAACATGGTAACCATTCGGCCACATAGGCAGTTAAATTACATTTTGTGTGATATAGAGAGAGATACCTAGTCTGCAACCTGCAATGGCAAGTATGGCGGTATAATGTTGCTTTGCCGACTGTGACCTATGTCCACGACCTATGTTTATAAATAATGCTGTCAAACGCACAAAAAGATGGCAAAGCATGCGTCGCCTCGTTGCGCACTGACGCAAATGACGTATTGTGACGTAGATCTTATTTTTATACTTATGATACTTATGGATCTTATTTTTTTCCATCCTTTAAGTTATGTATTGACGTGAATTGTATTTACTATATATAGGATAAAAACCACATAAAAACTGTGCATTAAAACATTAGTAAGTTAATGTGGACGACAACTTTTTGCGCCTTGGTATGTTTATATAATTTACAACCAACTCCATATAAGCTTTTACAATTTAGAATTAAATTCAACTATATGCAGGTTATATAGAGGTCGATGTATAATTTAAGCTAAATTTGAACAATTATAACTAGAGCATTATTTCAAAAACGGCACGTGGAAATATGCCACGAATTCAAATAAGGTGCGAAATATCTTCGTTATTAGAAATCAAACAAATTTATGCAAATTTCCTGTAGGTACTCTGATTGCTCGAGCCTTTGTCTTGGCTTGGCATTCTTTTTAGGCGCCGGAAAATTCAATTCAATTACTGGATTATGTTTGTTTTCAGAGATTTGTTAAGATATTCTGTAGATTCTTAACGAAGGTACGAATACATACATACAACTAAACCAGTTGTTTGCTTAAATGTAATATGGAAGATATCATTAGGTGGTACTTTTGCTCAGAAGTACAACAGTGGGAAATTAGCAATTACAGTTTGTTACCGGTATAAAAACTGGCAAAGTCTGGTAAGTCTGTTGAGCTTTTATTGGCTATGCCGATGAACTCTTCGCGGTTGGTGCTCGAAATACCAGTTTACAGTCGTAATTCTAGGCCTAGCCATGGTCGTTTTGAATATCCTTGGTTCTAATATTTATTTAACATTAAGTAAATGTTTTTCCAATCATGTTATAACACCACGCAAGAACTTTTGACACTTTGGCATTATTTAAATTGCCTACATCGCTTATTAGCCAAACTTAATTTAATTTTGTATAGGTAGTCTTCCATGTAAAGTTTATTCTACACAATAAACTTCACAGTGATAATGTGTCACACATTTTCATTTGAAATGTTTGCCCAAGTTTGGTGAAAGCGGGAATTAGCACTATGTAGGAGGCATTGGGTACTTTATTCGACACGTCGGTGAGTGTAGGAACGTTTAATTACCTAACTTCTTAGAACTTTATTAATATAACATTTGATGTAATATCTTTGAATTTTTTATATTACATGGACTAATCTAAAATATTTTCATCTTTTAGAATATTCTGTAGTTACAATAAGTTACTTACAGTACGGGAAAAAAATAAGGAGAAACATATGAAAATATTAGTATTATAGTTGATACAAAGACCCAACAAACACACAGAAAAATTCCTTCGATCCTGCTGGACTTGAACCAGCAACTTTTCGCTTAACACGGGAAATCATTCTCTCAAATGAACTACGGAGCGAGTGAGCAGACGCACGAATTTCTTTATTGTGCTTGCTGCTTTTATTTCGATATTTTGTTCTTAAAGACTTTAATTTTAAAAGCTTTCACAGGTTTCTCATAAGTGACGCTACGGCAAATAAGCCGTTAAAACCAAAAACAAAGCTCAGCACCAAGCACTTAGAGAAATTCGTAAGGTCTGCTGACTCGCTCCGTAGCTCAGTTGGGAGAGCCATAGCCCGCGTTAGGCGAAAATATCGCTAGTCCAGCCGGATCTAAGGAGATTTTCTTGTGAGTTTGTACGATTTTTGTATCAATTAGTAACAACAAACTAGTGGAATACTTTCACAAAAAATATACAAATATGTATATTGTTATGTACGGTTGGTAACAACTATAATACAAGGTCTCTCTAAATTAATTTCCTACCCGGTACTCTGGTAAATTTGTAATCCCAAGAGTAACTAACTACTATGGAGATAGGACCTTAAAGAAACGCATTCCCTACATATTAAACAGCTTACCAGAGAAACTGAAAAAATGTAAATGTAAAAAAATGTTGAAAGAGCATTATTTCACAAATTATTGGTGAATAGTTAATAATCATATTGTTTAAGTATTTTTAACAACATTAGTGTCAGTTTGTAACTTTTTGCCTAATTGAGACCCATTTCGATCCAGCAGTCAAACTGTATATACAGTTTTGTAAGACTATGTTTATTTAAATATATTGTACCCCTCCTTTTCTTAAATTCAAATAAATAATAATAAAAATACTGCAACACCGCGGTTGAAACCTTGAGTCTCGGGGGCCACAGGCGAAACTTCTAGCGAACGAGCTCTCATATTGCCTAGTGGAAGCCACCAGTGCCTACAAGGCTGGCAGTTATTTCCGCCAAAGAATAAGTTTAGGTATTCAAAGGGGAATTGTTGCCAGAGAAAAATTTCTACTTACAATAAGTTTTGTCTACTATTATATTTCCCTTTAAGTGCCTTGGAAATACCTAATTTCCAAAATTTCATCTTCATACAAAAATTAAAAAACATTGTAATATGAGTATTTGCAAAGTAATACAGAAAAAATTCTACACCTAGAATAGTCCGAACGTCGAGTTGCGGACCATTTCTAAGACCATTAGGCCTAGTCTAAAAACCCTTCTAATTACTTTGTACGGACGTAATAGGCCTCTGCGAAGACAATATCGTTGCAATAACAATTTGAAGTCAGAACATATACTACTAAACTAAGCTATTAGGTTGCCATTAATTGCTTAATAAACTTGCTTTATTTTATTTCACTAATTCTACTGTCTAATGTAGAAAAAAAATTGTAAGACATATTTCTTATACAATACCTATCATGTGTAATAGATACTAAAGTTACATTTTTTTAGTGTTATAAAAAATGGTTTGTACGAAGTTACCATACTTTTCTTATATTTACTATAATAAAATGCGTTATATTTACATACAATTTTAATGCTTAAATACAAAGTACCATTCTTAACATTTCATTCATTATTTCTTATTTCACGCTATTGTATACGATCTTTTAAACGCAGCATGCCGTTTACTCCTACAGAACTTCCGTTTAAACTTTCTTCTCGTCTGATAGACTTTGAATTTATCATTGTTAGCTACACTTTCTATGAGTCTAGTCCATTTTTCGTCTAAGTCCTCTGGTGGTTTATCATTGACAAGGATCACTGGTTTGACGAAATTGCAGTCGTTTCTTGTTTCGCCTTTGACCAGCGCTGACGATATCTCAGACCAGGTTTGGTCTTCAGGAGACGTAGTCTTGGAAGTCTCTTTACTATATTTAACAAATGTTTCCGTGTTGTTTTGAGCAGAGTCCGTACTGTGTTCGTTGTCACGATCTTGCTCTGCTCTTAGGGCTGCTTCAGCGTCCAGCAACTGGAAAGATTTTATTGATATACTATTTAGGTCAATACAAAGGTCAAATCGTTCTGTTTTGCAAGCTTATTGCTTATTGTGAACTATAATTACATATAATTATAGGTTGTATTACAACGATTTTTATGAGTTATAAGAAACACAAGAATTTCAATAGAAGACGTTTTCTGACGGTTGACCCATTTTTGCACAACAATCTGAATAATGAAGCCACCTGAGTACGGTCTCAGAACTACACCAACATTTCCGATTTCTATGCATCGACGCCGGAGCAAATTTCTTAGTCCCTACAACACAAATCCCTTGTTTATCGTTTTGGGTTTCTTATGTAAAATAAAAATGGCATACTTTGACTAAAATATTACAATACTTTTTTCAAGACTTGCATATTTAAGTATGTTTAAAGAATTTCACATCTTACGGTAACAATAAAATATTCATATCCACTAACGACGAAGGCTAACGTATACATTATCATAATCCTATTTAAGAGCCAGGTTCTTGCCGGAGTATCCTCCCACATTCCTCACGGTTCATAACCAACCCATTGACCTCTTTATAGCCGGTCATTTTGATATTTCTTTTTATCTGTTCACTATACGCTATTGTTATTCTTCCTCTCTTTCTTTTCCCTTCTATCTGCCCCTAAATTGGACATAGTTAAAGAAAAAGGACCAAATGCACGCCCAGTCACTTTCGAGATATGACAATTTGAAGCTTAAAAGTGTTTCTCACTCTTGTTTTTAAAACTTATTTTAAAACTCTTAAGTCACGTAACTCCCGAAATATTAATTTATATTTATATGTTGGATTTTTTGCTGATCTAAGAGGTTAAACTTTCGGAACCGTTTGGTTTATATAACTCATTTTTTGATAATTTTGTGGATTGGATCCTTTTTGCTCAACTGCGTCCAATTATCATTCTCACAATTTGATCATTAAGTAATAAATTTTCTAAAATTTTCCCCGTTCTCTATTGTTTTCAAAAGATTTCTTTCTTCCCTAACTCTTTTCAAAATATATTATATGTTATAACGTATATTATATAAATATATTATTACATATCACATAGTCTCTAAATGTAAAGAAGAATAAACATAAGAAATCCCTTGTTCTAGAGAACTTTTTAGTTACGTAATTGAACGTGTTATTCAAATTCTAACTGTTCAAACAGTGTCTTTTCTTTGTTCTGATTTCTCATGCTGGATACTGTATATCACTATTTGATTTCCTATACAATCTGTCCCACTTGTTCTATTTTTAATAGTGATTGATTACAAATTATTTTAGCTCATATTCCATTATCATCATAATTATCAAATCTACATTCAGAACAAGAATATCTATCAAAAACATATAGTTTATCTAGAATAGAGAAAACAATATTCTCCATAATCGTGGCGTAAATTTGTTATTGTCCAATAAATAGCGAAAACAGTCCAGTCGCTCGTAAAATACTGATGATTCGATTCGTGGTATTAAATTCGGTGCCATTAATGATCAATTATCGTGGTCAGATGATCTAGTTTGTTAACAATAGTTATGTAAGGCATTGTGAACATGGATGAACAAACTAATAAAATATTTGCCTTTAAAATGACGTTAAATGAAATCTGTTTCCTTTTTTTATGATGCCAGGTAACGGGTCGAACAAGTCGTGCGCCTGATGGTAAACGACACACCTGTCCATAGCAGTTAAGTCTCATGTGCCTGTAATTTTGCTAGCACCCTTTCCCTTCCAAACCGGAATGCACTAATGCTACATTATTGTGTGGTGGCAGAAATAGGTAAGGTGGCAGGAGTTCCATGGAGGAACTCCTTCAGAAGGAGCTCTACCACAAGTAAATATCCCTCATAGCCAGCTATAAACTGAACTCTTTAATTTATTGCTTTTTTCACTATTAAAAAATCGGAAATGATACGAATGTGGAAGAGTGAGAAGAGAGAGAAGAAGAAGCTTAAGGCGAATTATTTGACATTTTTTGTTATTAGAACAATCTCGGTGCTGTGTGATAGCAATTCTTTGTTGATACGAAATAAATGTATGGACACTCTCTGTGTAAACATGGTTGTGAACTATCGATAAATCTACACGTTGAAAGCCACAACTGTGCCACAAATGTTGCGCGAAACAAATTATCGGTTGCGCAACGATTACCGTGGTAAGAACAAGGAAGAAATAACAGAGGAACCTTCTGTTAAGTACTTGTTTTGAGTTGCACTTTCTCTTATGTTTTTGCTTAATAACTTGCCAAGGTTACTTAGCATAATGCTGTAGTCTGGTTATAGCGTACAATTAATTTATTAGTAGAATTTTCGTAGGAAGTCTTCGAAACAAAAGCGTCCTATATGTATACTTGGTACCTAACGTTCTCGTTAGTCGGTAAAGTTATTGTTGTGGTTTGACTGAAAACTGTTCAACTCAAAAACAAATTGAAAATTTATTTAGCATCACTTAGCATAATTGATATAATTTTTTTTCATAATTGTTATTTTTTAATGTTCAGCCATCGAGTATGTAACTAGAAATAGAGACGAAATAAGGGCCATCCGTCCCTAACAACTCATCAGGCAAATGTGCCTTATGTCAGTTTTAAATATCAACTCTCGTTTGAAATCTCGCTAAAATCACAAATTAGAAAGAGGAAATATAGTAGTAGCAAACAACTGACATGTGTGTACGTCTCCGTATATTCCAAAAATATTCTGTATTTATTGTAATAAAGATAATATCTCTAACAATGAGGGGTCTGTTCCATTCGGTGGTGTGGGAAAAATAGCAGAACATCTAATTACAAAACAAACGGAATTCCATTTAATGGGTAATTAAATATCATATATGTAATTTTTCAATTGTCGTCCATTACAGCAAAGCTCAACTTAAACTGGTCGATTTGAAGTGAAACAATTGACGACATCCGTCATTTGTTTCGAACGCGAGCTGGCCAATCGGAGCGCAGATGTCACTGTAATGATTTGGCAGAATAATTTTCAAACAAATTAAATGACATTTCGTCTGTTTCTGGTTGTCCAGCACATCATCCGCAAATATCGTCCTGTTTTAAAAGTAATTACGAACTAATTGTATGGATTTTGAGGTATACTAGGAATTATTGTTTTAATTTAATACGATTAAACATGTTTCTTCGTGGTTACGTTTCCGTTTAAATCTCAAGTCGTTTTCAGCTGTAGTAGGTCGATACAAACACAATTTTACTGAGAGAAACTTTAATCGTTTCGCAATGACAAAATTAGTTCACACACGTTTTTACTTCCATGGAAAACCAGAGGGCACACAGACAAAAAAACATAGATTGTAAAAAAATACTTTTGTTCATCCTTAAACATTATTGCCTACTAAATTCATAATTCAGTGTTACGGTAAAAGTCGAAAGCAATAGCCCGTATGGTTGCAATGGTCCGTGCAAATCACCCACACCGATTAGCACTGGCACGGTGCACTTGGCGGTAAGCCAATACGTGATCCGTAACTTACGATTGCAGTTTCCGAAAGACATTCGCGTTTCTGGTCACATTTTAGTAGTTTTCTAATGAAGCTATAAAATATATTTATGATTATTGAAACAAAAGATCCGCTTCTAGTCTGTGTGCAATTTTAGATAAATACGATATCTTCGCCACTTGCTCGCAGTTTAGAAAAATAAAATATTACCATTGAAATACAACAAATCAGCAAATTACTGAAATATTTATTTTTAATAAGCACGTTACTATTATTATTTATTTATTGAGCATTGGCTACAGAGCTACCAATTTAAACAGGTAACAAATACTGCCCTCCGAACGAAAAAAGGCACAACTGCTGTATAAAGCACGTATAGTTGTGCCTTTTTTCCTTACGAGGGCAGAATAATTAAGAAATTCAAAACGTAATAATAATACCTACTTAAACTGGAAATTCTTAAAGTTGCATATTGTTCACATTTAATAAAATTGTTGTATATAGATCCTATCAAACAAATAATGACAAAACTCCAGCATCTTTCAATGTATATTCGTATTCGGCAAATCTGCTGTGCAAACTTGCAAATTGCAAACTTGGATTTTCCCAGTCCTTCTCAGTTTTATCTTACCAGAAGTATTTTCCTTTTACTGATTGGTCGACATCAAGAGCTAAATAAACGGGAGCCTTTCCTGATTCCTCCAACGATTTTATTCATTTCTGTTTGAACGTACCCAGAGTTTAATTGATGGAGATTCCTCGGTTAATTTCATTTTGGTGCGCTCTTCTCAACACAGTGACAGCTACTTTTGAAATTCTGTAAGCAAGCTTTTCCATTTCTGCGAAATCTTCCAACCAACGTAACCAATCAACGTAAGTTTTCACGTCTGCTGCTTTGATATCCTTCTTGGTGAGACGTGGGACCCAATAAAGATTTTTAATTTTGGAAATAAAACCGCAATCGCTTGAAACATTCACCACTCTAGCATTATCTCTTAGAATAGGAAATAGAAATGCTTGAATGATAAATAAAGTCGTATAATTTACGTCAGTCACGTGGCTAGCGCCTTTGTAAGTTGTTTTATCCTCCTGAGGCTCAGAAAACTGCAATGGGTTAAGCGCTAAACGCCCAATGTAAGTTAAAATGTATTAAATCTAATTACATGCTTCAGGCCCGAGCAAAGATGCCCTTAGTTTTGTATGAAAACATATTTTTCTAGAAACCATAGGGTTATGGTCATATGGAATAGATAGCGCTAAATTTGAATACAGTATTTTCATTATAATAATCACTGGGCGTTTATGTGATCATAGGAATAATATTCTCTGAGTCACTTCACAAAATTATGTAAATTTTTATGTACCAGGGCCTCAGGAGGTTATATAAATCTTTAACGAGAATTCCAGCGTTGTTGATTAAATTATCTAAGCCTCCCATAAGCCTCCATGCTTTTTTAAGGTGTGTTTTGTAAGGTTCTATTTCTATCAGTCACGTCTAGTTGATGAAACAGTGGATTAAGATCTTCTTTTCTAAGTTTTTCCACAGCTTCCTTACGTCTTGTTACATCTCTTTCTGTGAAGTAAACAGTTCCAACTCCTCTTTGACACAACTCTCGTACAATGGCAAATTCTATGCGTTCATTTGAACCGGTAACCACGGCTACTTTGTCAGACATGTTTCTGGGTCCACAACTAACAGTATACTGAATGTAACACTATCGACTTTTATATGTTCAAAGAACATCAGGTGATTGGGCTGTTCCTTTGTCCGTTTATAAATTAGGAGCTGATAACATTATTTATCAACAAACATGTCGTAAACCCTCTATGATGTGTACAAAAACCGCAAATTAATACCAGCTTAAATATAAACTGTTTTGTTAGAACAAATTTCTTATCTATGAAAATGTTATAATTGCTTCCTAATAACATCAAATTTGATTTTATTATTACATTCAAATTTCGAACATATCTGAAAAACAAAACAATTTGATTCGCCCTCAATTCTATTATCAGTCGAGATCTTAGAGGATGGAAAAAAATAAAGGAGGGACCTGCCCTATTTACGGAATAAACGTGGCTACTTATACCAAAATTGTTCACCACAAATAGCAGATTTCCTTAGTGTTGTACCAAAATCATCGATAAGTCTATATCGACATGCAAATGTATGGCTTGAATGTTGACACTGTTTTTTATGTTTGTAATTTGTATGGTTTACTCTAATCAAGGTGTGATTAAAACGTTTGATTAAAGTTTATCAATATTCCATTTGGGAACGTTTTATGTCATATGGGAATATCCGGGAAAGTCATATGAAATTTTGAATTTATTATTTTGCATGTATAAATGCTCAAATATTACGAAAATTGAATTTGCACACAAAAAATGTGATTTGAGAGTATATTAAAAAAGAAACTATTTTGTAATATAAATCTTGACATCTCTACGCATTTGCAATCTCAAGACTGATATTAGAAAGAAATTTTTAAATGGTTTTCAAATAGTGTGGTGTAGCTGGTTTGTTTGTTTTGGTTGTATTTATGCATGGGTATAGAATTAATATCAGTGATTTTGATTTAGGTGAATCTTTAACACTTTCTTTTAATTTTTGAAATAAATAAAATTACCTATGCAATAGTAGTAATATTATCGATAGTCATAAAATCAGATATAAAATGAATAATACGTTTATTTGCTTAAAATATGGTATAACAGAAGATTTAACAAGAGACAGTGTCAGTACAAAGATGTTTCGCATATTGAATAACCATTGTAATGGGTGTTTGTTTTTATCATAGTTTTTGTTTTCGTGACTTTGTAGGAGAAAAAAGTTCAGTATCAATTTGCAACTATTTATTGAACTTTTGACACTTAATACAAACGTTTAATACAGAATCTACAAAAAGTTACACTCTAAAACGATAGCATGTTTATGTTTTCAACGTCGAAATGCATCATATACATATAACGCATAACGTCTGATTTATATATGTCAATATAACATGTCCTTTGGTTTCCATAGTCTAAGGTCGAGATGAAGTTTTGTTCGAAATGAAATGTCAATAGCAAACAATTTTGACAAATCTCACAAGTTACTTGATATCGAACGATATGATAGTCGGGACCGACTCTATTTTGTGTAACTTATTTTCTACTCTTTAATTTAAACTGTCACTTTTTTCACACATTTCATTTTTAGTTCGGGACTTACTCGTAATCATGTATAAAACATAGCTAGAAGATTTTGACGCCCGCCACTTCAAACCGTGGACGTTGCAATACGTCCGAAACGTCGAGGTAATTTGAATATGTTTTATACACGATTAAGTCCCGAACTAAAAATCAAATGATTTTCTATTCTTCAACACTAACACCTACTTTTTTGTAATACCAAGTGACACGACGGGAGAAACAAGCCGTGAGCGTGGTGGTAAACGACACGCCTATCCGTAACAGTTGCAGTGTCACTCAGAGCTAAAATCGGAAAGATATAAGGACCACTGCACTACGCCTGTGACACTGAAACAGAAGTTGATAAATCGCATGTGCTTGTCACTAGCACCCTTACACTTCCAATCTAGATCACAGTAATATGGGCATTTCACCTTAGCAGCAGAAACAGGTACAGTGACAGTTCTTCCCTGGACGAACTCTTTCACACGGGGATGTATTGCTACTAAACTGTAAAATCCGGATACTTTGAAATTTTTTACATATCTATTTTATCACGTATGCTTTAAAAGTGTACAAGTTGAAAAAATATCTAAAGTGTCATTATCATGAGTAAATCTTTGAGAAATTAACTAAGCTTAAACCTACACGCAAAAATTAACAGCGCTCTTGACTTTGTTATACTAACCTTGTGAGCGTAATAATTTGATTATCATAAACAAACCAGCCAGTTGGGCGCTGATACAATAAACTGATTTCAACACGTTATTATAACGAACGAAGAGTTTTTATACCTCCCGGATGTTGCTGTTTATGTTGGACATGAAATCATGATGAATTATCCAAAGTGAATGATATAAACTTATTGGTGTAGAAAGGGGAACAAATGATTAAGAGCGAACAAACGGCAAATTAGCAGAAACGAGCTTTCTGCAACCAATAACACTGTAAAAGTTTTGGTTACTGAAATAGCTTTTATTCGCTCCTTTATCCGAATGTGAAGATAAATATGCCGTAAAAATATGAATCTTTATAGTTTATATTTAGAAACGAAACAGATGTAACATATTATATAACAATCACTTTTCAGGCATGTTGCTAATGAGGCTTGTTACTTATTGCTCCTCTCAATTCATCCTCTATATGTAATTATAAAAACGTTATTTATTACGGATCATAACTACACGTTTGTAACAATCATAAAACTTTTCGTGATCGTGTGCGTGTTTGACCGCATAATCTCAGAATCTACTTTACAATTCAATGCTGTGAAACTTTGAAGCTTCAGATTGAAATTGGCTGCAAACATAACAGAGTCTTTATATGTAGATTGAGTTAGAATATATTAGCATACCAAGTAAACTTTACATGTGTTTGGAACTGTAGGTGCCATTTTATGACGTGAATTTCATGCGGTAAATAACTTGTAAATTCTTTTAGAACTCTTCCCTCACTTTCAGTAGGTAATAGATATAATAAGATATAAGATAATAAATTACTTATTTAGTAGCAGTAGAACTCCGTGTGAAAGAGTTCGTCCAGGGTAGTACTGCCACCGTACCTATTTCTGCCGCCAAGCAGTGATGTCAGCATTACTGTGTTCCGGTGTTGAAGGGTAAGGGTGCTGGTAAAATTACAGGCACATGGGACTTATCAACTTATGTCTCAAGGAGACGAGTGCAGTAGTAGTGCCCCTCAGATCTTTGCAGCTCTGAATGGCACTATAACTGTTAAGGATACTACACGCCTGTGTAGCTTACCATCAGGCGCACGAGTTGTTCGTCCCGTACCTGGACGTTATAAAAAAAAATTTATACAGAGAGTGTAATCGTTGCATTTGAAAGGAAATCTAAAATATAAATAATTAATTACAATAAATATAAATAAATACCAATCAAAAGTAAAGTACATAAAAGTCATCAAAGTGTGGTTAAAAACACCTTCTTATAAACAGGAGGGTGAATCAGAATGCTCATTTAGTGAAACGTAAACAGAAGCATCTGCCCAGTGATGCCGCCCAATGGCGTTTATAAATCACACCTACGAGAGATCAATCGTTAATGGGCAAAGTGAAGAATGTATAATTTACACTGTGCACCAGTACAATGGAGATTACACTTTAACAGATTTTGTTCAACTACAAATGAACATTTACGAAAAACTTGTTTTTTTTTATTTAAAAGGGGTCCACAAACTAGACGTTGTAGGGTTTTATGTTATTATAACCCTTATTGACCCTTTAAATACTCTCAATAATCTTTTTGGGTCATATATATTAATTGTAAGTCTTTTTATTAACAAAAAGTTACAATTTAGCTACAGTTAATGATAAAATAATTTCAAAGTTATGTGGAACTTTTCCCTTTGTCATTTGCAGGTTCCTTTGTCCTTTGTTTACTGCAAACTGTATAATTATAAGTTATCCCATGAAAAGTAAGTTTCAAGTTTATGGTTCACTATAATTGAAAATTTACAAGGATGAAAAAGGTTACCAAATTTACAAGCGAGAAAATTATCGAAAAGGCTTTCTTTTGCAATCCTTTTACAAAATCAAATAAATTCTTCATTCTATTTCATATTATTTTTATTATTAGCGTAAAATTCTAGAATATGATATTTATTATTGCTAATTATCGTGGCTAAGGCAGATTATACTCATTATACCTATTATTGCTTAAGTGATAGAACAACATATAATAATAATAACGCACACACTCAACACAGCCCTTCACTAGGAAAACCATGTGTCGCGGGTGCCATGGACACACACATAGAAAACCATAATTTACACCCAAACTCACGAGAGAAATAAATGTAGACCATACAAATATTTCTCCCGGCCCGGGTATCGAACCTGGGACCTCTGCGTGGCATGTTAACCGTTCGGCCACTGAGGCAGTGGCCAAACATAATAACAGAACATATAACTGAACAGAACATATATATAAGTAGAATAAGAGACGAGCCAAATCTACCTTGTGTTTGTCCCTGGAGGCCGAGTAGAGCACCCAACCGACATACACGAACATGATGAGCGCTGGCACCACTAAGCTGGCGACGATGGGGATACGGCGGACCCACGCGTGGTAAATCGCCAGCACGAAGAGTGATATTCCCACCAAGATTGCTATGTAGCGACCAGTACGCTGACGTTCTTCCTGTAAATAGGACGTATACAAATAGACTCTCCAGTGCTATTCATTGCGGGCTATTGATGAGTTTTTAGCTCGTAGATATCAGAAAACATCAAGGATGGAAAGAAAAACCGATAAGGAGGTGTTAAGAATAGTGCAAGAAAAGAGAAGCTTATGAAAGAAGAGAGAACCGTAGGGGAAAGATGTTTGAGCATCAGTAATGTCCTGAAAGTTTTCATAGAAAGAGAGAGAGGCAGAGGACAACCGCGACGAAGTTATTTAGATCAGATAAGTGAAAAAGTTCATGTCGTGTCGTCTCAGGAAATCAAAGGTCGCTGTACAAAAATGGTTTAGCCTAGCTCTTAAATAAGAAGAAGAAGAAGAAACATCGAAAGGGAGCAATGATACGTGGGAATTTTATACATCAAAACTGTTTACAACAAAATTCTTCATTGAAACATTCAACAAATTGCAAGATATTTTAGACAGTTCTGCGGCCTGTCATACTACAAATAGGTAGCAAATAAATCGTACAAAATAATTACAATGTAAAGTTAATGTAGCTGCTTGATATGTTGATTTAGCTCACGTTCGCATAGCGTGGTAGTTACTGCCACGGTTCCGCCGTTAATGTCAGCAGATTACAAAGTAGAGTCATTGATTTCCGTCGGAAAAGGTTAAAGTTAAATTTTACTGCATAATACATACTTCAATATATTAATTGCACTAATTCTAATCTTATTGACAACTATTATTATATCTCTATGTTACTACATACCTACTCATAGCACGAAGCAGTGGATTTTTAAAATTATATCTCAAATTAATTTCGTTGTATGTACGTTGACTTACAGAAATGTTGTAAAATGCGATTTATAATTTTTGCTATTATGGATTGTACCCCTATACAAGGCATCCTACATGGGACACGGCGGTACTTTTAATATTGTAGATGCGATATTTTTCTTTAAGACAATGTTTTGTTCTTAAAGGAAGTAATACTGCTTTCAAAGGTTTATAAAAAGCTGCTTGTAGCGTCTGGGAACCCAACCGACCAATATAGAGCAGTATAGACAATATAGAGAATAAAATGTCCTGTATTATTGTGATGACAACCGAAAGGACCAATTATAAAGATTAATTCGTCATATATAACATAGTATCTTAATTTAAAGAAAATGTTCTCTTGTTAAATTAATTTTGGTGCACACCCGATGATGTTTATAACTCTTTGTGCAAACCCTTAGTCTTCAAATAAGACGCTTAGCGCTGCAATCTGCGCTGGATCACTACTAATTTTCATACAATATTTAGAAACGCAGCTACAGCGCCACGTTCGCGCGACACGCGCGCTTCTTAAGCAGACTAGATATTGTATGGCGCCTTTAATTTTCAAATGACCACCACGAATGAGAAAATTTAATGTTGTAGACCAGCAAAGCGACCAATTTTCAAATCTAGAATTTTTTTTCTATGGTGTTTAAAAGTGACCAGTTGTAAGAGCTTTCAGTTTCACCTAAAAGTACACCACAGACAAGCGAAATAGAGCTGTGTTTCACCCTTTGGTATTTTAATATTTTGACCAAGCGGGGCGTGGAAATATCAAAATAACGAAATCCAATCCTATCGTTAAAAAGTTGACGTAATAGTTAAAATAAGTAGGTATACAAATAAATTATATACAAGTAAGTATAACAAATCGTCAAATATATGTATAGCAAAGCGTTATCATAAATTACATGAAAACGAAATTTCACACGTTTCTGTTTGATTACCCAGTGTCTAACAAAATAATAATGTGATAAACAGCCCTTATCAAGAATCACTCACAAATTAAGTAAACTCGATTTAATTAACGTGTACCTACACACCCACACTGACCAGATCAAAGGAATTAGTTAGTCACGGTACAGTACTTGATCCTTTACAAAGAAATAAATTTACAAGTACGTCGGTTTGAGATATAACTTTGTTGGTACTACCACTAGAGTAAATAGCTTTTAATTAGTTCAAGTGCTTTATATATTCTTACTATTAAAAAATACTTTTATTGAAGATATCTTATTTCTGAATAAACCTTAAATTTTAAAATGTAAATGTGAATTAAGAGATTCAGTCTAGTGAAACAACATACTACTGAAAATATGGTAGTAATTTGTCATGTCGCCAGATATTTGCAGAAATATCAAGTAATCCATTGGAATATTCAACATTACCATTATCTGTAACTTCGTAGTGTCCCTAGGTTTATTCTCATTGCCCTCCGACTTACTATATAATATATGTGGAAGTTCATTTGACCGTTTTGAATTTGGTAGCTATAGTTCCTCTTGTTGATAAGTGCGTGCATTAATATCACAGATAAGTGCGTAGTTACATGTGATATATTCCGATTACATCGCAACGACTCAACAACTGCAGCCGACTGCATCTAATCAAATAATCACAATGGCCCTGCGGTTTCCACTTTGAGAGTCAGTTGAGATGCACGAATAAACAAATGAACGACTAAATTTGTTTTGGTTCTAATCAGAATATTCTGGGCAGTGCCACGGAGTTAATTACGTTCTCCTGGTATTTAATTATGCTGGGATTTCCCAAGTTTGACAGTAGATTATTGTCTGAAGTGCATTCCAGACCATATAATGAAGTTGCGATGTGTTTTTTTTTCTACAGTACGTATACTGACCTTCATGTCATAAATATAAACTATTGCATTTGCTTAGCAACTTTTGAGATATGTTGCACCTAAAGTTTTTTATCTTTAAAAAATACCAATTACACTGATTGTGCTTAATAAGAATTAAACGTAATAACTGAAACGTAAATAAGATATAAAAAACCGCTTATAGGGTTACAGATCTCATTTTGCTGAATTCAGATATTAATATCTCAATTTAGCTAAAAATGTTGATTAGTTAGTTATGATAAGGAGGACAGTATACCTCAACCATGAATTAACAGCCTTGAAACCTCTAGTAATCGCATAAAATATTTCACATTGCAAATTGTGTATAAGCGCCCTTTGCGGACACAAAGAAGACTTGTAATATAGCTCCATAGATACTTGTGACGATCGATAACAACTCCCACACTATGAACACTATAAACATTCAAAATGGGTATTCAATGTGGGTTTTTCTCGAGCCAAAAAATATTTATATTTCACTCATAAATTAATTAATTTTCAGAAGGTATGGGTTAATGCCTATTACTGTGGCGACAGCAGTCACCACAATTCTCATCGACTCGCCAAAGGAATTAGTTAATGTATTTTTGAACACTTTGGTTGGATAGATAATTTAATTAAAGTACAAGTTCTTTGTCATTTAAATAATTTATGAAGGAGAGACGGTAACTCAAAGGGAAAAGTGGTTACTTCCTAATTATAATAATAATAATAACGCGCGCACTCTCATAGCCCCGCACTAGGGAAACCATGTACCGCGGGTGCCATGGACATACACACAGGCAACCACAAATTACACCCAAACTCACAATTGAAATAAATGTAGGCCATATAAATAAGTCTCCCGGCACGGGAATCTAACCCGGGACCTTTGCGTGGCAGTCCGGCAAGGTAACCGTCCGGCCACAGAGGCAGTTAAATTGAAAGGTCGACGGTTCGAATGTTCGAGCGGTATGACTTTAATTTCTAAGTTATTGTATATTAGTGGTGAATGTCTAATAGAAATTGTGATAATGGAAATCTTTGTATTGAAAAAAAAAACTAGTTAATTAATTTCACAAATAAATATTGAATACCATAATATTCAATACCACCACCAATATACCAAGATGTTACCATGATAATACCATTATTATCATGGTAATAGTAACATCGTGATATTATTCAATAAAGTTAATAATATTATTACTAGATATTCCAAAGAAAAATGTCTTATATTGCGACATTTACTGCGCACGTCATGCATTGGCCTACCCTCTTCAAAGTATATTTGAAAAAGGTTGACCGGTAGGTAGGTAGGTCATAGAAGCCGAAGAGTAAGTATATTAGGATATTAGGATGGTATTTAATAAAACTCTTCGGCGAATAAAATATGTAATAGATCTCTTTGCAATGAGATATACTAGTATAAGGTTTCAACAATGCATGTTAACCACAAACTAAATGCAATAATGTTAATGGCGATGTTATGACAGGAGTGCAATGGAGAAGGAAGTTGAATATGTACTTAATTGATTAGAACTCCTGTAGTAGGATATATCACAAGTAAGAACATACGCTACAGATTGAGCTATACATTCTGTTACTTTTATAGACTGAAAGTTGTACACTATGCATTGTAAATGACGGAAAGTACAATATTCAACAAATAATTAGTATATCTTTAGATATTATGGACTACCGTACTACATAGACAATAATTTGTACTACTTGTACAAAGCCATTTAACATTTTTTTTAAATTTCTTCACATTATGTTTTTTTAAAGGTATTTTTTGGTATTTTAATTAAAGTACTTGATTTAAATATTTTGTATATATTAAATATGATACATTATATATATATATATATATTATTTCACTATTTCACTTGTTATCTCTATTAATCTATGGAATGCAAAACTTGAAGAAAATGTGGTCCATGGCAGCGGCATCATTGCTATAGATATTTGCGTTATCCAAGAAAGGAACACTTAAATTTGTAGAGCTCTTTTCTTTTAAAAAAAAGGTTTCTACGTCAAAATTATTTTGATTAATATCTTTTTTCTATTTCTCACCTTCACTGAAGTTGAAGTTCTCTTTTTGTTGAGGACATGGACTGAACGCTGCATATCGTTGTTCAATTTTATGTTTAACGTGCTTGCACTGCGACAATTTATAATGAGAATTAGTTATTTGCGTCATAACACCTCTTCAGTACACCGACTTTATAATACCGTTGACATAATTATTATTTCGGAAACACTTCATCATTTGTAGGTACTAAGTATCATGTTGTTAAATTCTTGGAAATGAAAAACATATAATTTATTTTTTGTGTCAAAGAAACGAACGCGAGTGGTTAAGAACTTAAATTATTCAAAAAAAAATGTTAGAGAACAAATTTTCGGAAATACTCCGATATATAAGTCAGCCACCCAAGAATTGCACATTTGTACATAGCATCACATCAACGACTTGAAAAGTAAACCATAAAAATTAAAAGTCCAATATTTACCCCCGAACAAACATTGTTAATCCCAATATAGTGCACACCTGATAATATAAACACTACAATTTTTTGAACGTCTTTAAATCTAAATCTTTGTCGAAGCCACAGTCACTCGCGTAAGTGCGTGTGCGCGCCTGGAAGCGACCCCGCCAGTCTGGCTCTACAGGAGCGCGAGCATTGCGTACTCATCTTACGGATTATTTACATAGAACGTTAAAAACGCGTAAACTACGGGCTTATTCCATTTATGAAATCACAATGTGTCCTGTTTTATAAGCATTACACTGCTATTTTTTTATTTAGTACGTAGTTATGGTCTGAGAGTTACAACTTAAGAACTTTGAATCAAGTATGGTTACCTAGGAGACAGGCTACCTAATTTAGGAGCCAGTGTAACTGGTTTTGAAAAATGCTTAAAAGTACATGTTTTATACATACGTACTCTTTTACATACCTAAGTTCAATCAAATATCTGAAATTAAACTGTATTTAATTTTATGTACAAACAATATTACTTACAGGGCTTGCTGATCTTCTGAAAACATGTAACTTGATTCGAATGAATTAGCCCTTTCTTACTAAAATATTATTTATTAAATGTATGCGTATTTTCACTATTGCTGTAAAGTATTAACTTTGTTGGTAAACTGTACAAAGAAATTAGTCAAAAAATCCTAAGGGAATTTAAAGACGAAAATATAAATAATTTCAGTGATACCAAATAAAACAACATTGAATACTGATACCTAAGTTGTATTTATTTACGAGATGTGACATAAAATGAGTGGAGTGCTTTTCTCAAAGAAAGGCTGAAAAAGTTCAGTCTTTCTCAAAGTTACACCACCAAATGTTCCAGAAAATATGTAAGTGAAGTTCATAGACAATTATTCCGACAGTTTTAGAAACACCAAAATCAGTACAATGTGGTAATTAATCTTTCGACCATAAATAACGATTGAAAGTATCCAGATTTGTTTGAAATGAACCAAAACACTAAATGCGAATTTTTGCGATCTCCATGGATATTTTTGCCTTCTTTCCGCAGCCAATGCTCCTGGCACATGTTTTGATTATGTGCTACCAATACAAATTACGTGTACATCATCACTTTAGACGTTAGCTAAACAAATATACTGCAAATTATAATAGTTGGATTTCAGATGATCAGAACCAGTGTTTTAAATATAATGATTGTTTTAAGTCTTACATAAAACCTACGCAGAAATTTTTTTTTACTTATTAATATATTTTAGGCAATTACCAAATTACTTACAAAATATGTCTACGTGCGGGAAGAACTTGCAATCCGAGGATTCCGTACCTTTATGACACAGGCAATAATAATAATAATTTTAGATTGTTCGTCGTTTTTTGGTTTATCGTCGTTTGGCCAATGAGCTGTAACTTCACAGCGCTCGTCAGTCAACAATGCGAAGCAACACATTGTTTGTTGGGTGAGCGGTAATAGCTCACGCCTGTTACGTGTCAATTACGCAATTATCCCTGTTGTACAAAACAAAGGTTAGGTATTGCGTCGAGAATTGTTCGCATCTCTGGGATGGCTCCACCAAGTACTTCTAAAAGCTCCACTAAGTTCTCGAGACTTCGGACAGTTTACAGCGTCGCGCCTTACAGTCATTGACGATGAAGGAGTCTCATCACACCTGTGAACCTCTACAACTGCGTAAACACAAACACGTTGAATCACTTAGCGCCTTTTATGCGAGTGCTATGAAGAATTGTTCAACAATATCCCGCCCTCTCCTTTCCTGCTCCGAAGCACGCATGTTGCCCTCCGTAGTCACCGTTTTACAACTAGACATATTCCATCGCGAACTAAAAGGTTTGGTGGCACCTTCCTCTGTCGCACAATTGACAAATGGAACTCCCTTCCAGGGCACATATTCCCTCCGTCTTACGATATGGGGTCCTTTAAAGGAGGTGTGAAGTGTTGGTGAAGAGTTGGCATGCAGGGTGGTGGCTAGAACATTGATTGTATCAACAATGCACTAGGTTATTTCACGTTTAGGATTCCATTTTCCATTTTACATCAGGTGGAATGAAATCATCTGCATGTGTAAAAAAAATAAGCTAACTATTTTTTTTTAATATTTAGTTACGGGAACCCTATAAACGCTACCACAAATTTTACAGATCACTTAGGCGATTAAAATACGGAGTACCTACTCAACTTTTGTTATTACTTTCTCTTCTATGATTGTTTTAAATAAATTTGGGAGTAATTTGTTCTATATTTAGATAAGAAAAGCGCCGATACCAAAATAAAATATATATAGTGAAATAAGATTATTTTTGTAATATTAGCTATCTTGGCAAAGTTTTTCCCTGAGCACCTGTATAAAATACATATAACCTCACCTGCACGCACACAAATTATTTTAAATCAAGTTTTCGTCATTAAAAGATAAATAAAAAAATGAAATTAATTATAAACATTTTCTTGAAATTAAAACTAACATTTTGGAGCAGTAGAGCTCCTTGTAAAGAGTTCGTCTAGGGAATTACTGCCACATCATATTTCTGCCGCCAAGCAGTATATGGGTATTATTTCGTTCTATATTATATTTAAATCTTCAGTAAATCGAAAAGGTTGCTGAGATACACCAAAATAGGCGCCTTAACGTCTAGTTGCGGAAACCCGTCCGTTATACCAAGTACCAAAATTATTGCGTTCCAGTTTTTAAGGATAAGGGTGCTGGTAAAATTACGGACTCATGAGACTTGTCAACTTATGTCTCAGGGTGACGGGCGCAGTGGCAGTGCCCCTCAGATCTTTGTAATTTAAAGCTCTGAGCGGCACTGCAACTGCTGTAAATATAGGCGTCATTTGGTATCAAAAAAAAGAAAAAGTACGTAATAAATCTACGGTTTTGAGATTTTTCTTTACATATTGTTTTCTATACACAAGTTAACACACATTAGGCATAACATTTATAAAGGTTTTATTAAGGTAATATTTGTAAAGGTTATACATTTATAAAGGTTTAATGTAACACATTTTTTGGAAGATCTCGTAAATACAAAAGTAAAACAAAATTTATCTTCTCTCCTTGGTATATTTCACCATTCTTGTAAAAATGTCACTTTGACGTTATAGTTTAAAAATATTTAGTAAATTAGTTGAAACTCTTCAGTGTTGGTGTAGTCTATTATTTAAACCATTCACATGTATATTATTTGTTGGTGAACGATTTTTCTATAAAATCAATATCGTTAATGGGTATCCTTTAGTTTGACGCATTTTTGAAAACACCAACCCTGCCTAATTTTCTTTTATGGTAACGCAGAATACAAGTGCTGCGTACCAATAAACTCGATTTTACTTTTGTAGTCGAGCTTCATGTAAATTATAGCTTTTCTTTAATATTTCCATGACGAACGCTGCCAATTAGTTTGCCAAGTACTTTCTATACAGTAATATACGTAAACCTGGAATCGCCCTATATTCTAGCGGGTTTAGGCATTGACTTAAGTCAATGGGTTTAGGTGATAAGACTTGGGAGCTTCACCTGAATGAATCGATAGATTGTCTGTGGCGTTGTTCGCGGGTAACATCTCTTAGGAGGAATTCGGCTAAAGCTGGTCTTCATTCGTTATGGGCCTTTTGGAGGGAAAAGTGTAGTTTTTGTTTTGACTTTCAATTATTTTGTGAAATCTAGTTTAAAGTGGAATAGGATAGTGCTATTGTGCCTTAATCGAAGATTAAAACGCGAAATTATACGATTCTCGAACTAAAATACGAAGACACGGCTCATAGGACTTGTATCCAAGCCAAAATTATTAATAAAAAAAGCTGGTCTTTTCTGTTCGACACGTCGGCTCGTAAGGTGTTCCTTGATTTCCACTTCTTCTGCGTTGATTTATACCATGCCGTAATTATGGGTCTCCGAACGCTGTACCAGATGTAAACCCGTGTCACCGGACCGCATGGTGAGTTGACCTCTGCATTCTTTCCTTCGCTAGATATTTCGTCATTTATTTCAATGTAAATCTCAATTCAATGGCAATCTGTATTGTTTCAGGGTTTTTTTTTCATCTTTGGTATACTTATAATTTAAAATCTCGCCATCAACTGAATGGCTGAGTCCTTTTGTTCGGCTGTGCCCGACCACGTGTCATAAGCCTAGTGGTTTACACTAGGCTTAAACCTAGGCCTTAATAGCCCTAGTCCTAATATTCACTACCAAATAGTAGTCATTTAACTTTAATGTTATTACGATTAGGCATGAATGGATAAAATTGGGTCCCGCGACGTGGTGCCCCAACCCTTGCGACTCGTACTGGGTCAATTAATTTTAAAATATCATTTTTTAGAAAGAAAGGCCCTGGAATTCAACGGACCGCATTTGCACGCCCCGAAATACGAACTGCGCTTAATTGGCTGGAAAAACCAATGTGACCCAATTGCGATGCCGCAGGAACACGATATGTATAACAAGTCAAAATACAAAAGTAAAGCAAGTAGTTTTCATTCTGATCTGTAGCTCAGTTGATAGAGCGGTTGCCTTAGATTGGCATTACAGGTCCGATTCTTGTCAGATCGAAACAATGTTTCTTTGTGCTCGATCTTTGTATTATAACAAACTAGTGGAGTAAATTCAGAAAAGAAAATAAGTATCATGGTAGTAAAACGTCATGGTA